TGGAACAAAAATGGAAAACAGGAAAAATCGAAAGCATTAACCGAAACGTGATACCGAAACGTTAAAGGATAGGTTAAAGTAGGATGTAGAAGGGAAGGGTAAAGTGAAGGAAACTGGTACACCTGAAGATATATACAGGATATACACACGTGTTTAACGATTGAGAATTTTAAGATTGGTAACTTATAATCCTATAATATACTATGAGACTTTTTTATATGTCACTTTATGTCTTCATGTAATCTTGGTACATTTAGAAAATTATATTTCTTAACTTCCTTCCTTTTTTTCTTTTTCTATCTCTTTTAATTCTACTATTTCTTTTACATTTTAAACGAGCTTGTTGTATATATAAGGATGTAAGCCCAGGAATATCTTCAGTAGCTTTATAACGTGCTGTATTTTTAGCATGCTGTTTTTTTTATTTTTTTGTTTGTAAGTTATTATAATGTGTCTAAGTAAAAAAAAAAAAAAAAAGAAAAAATGATATCTCCATAAAATTAGCATGGAGCTAGCAGTAAAAGATAATTTAGATGAGAAAAATTAGTAGCGCTGAAAAAGCGTAGCATCAGAAACATGCCACCTATGTGGAATATTTAATATAAGGTAAGATTTAATAAAATCCTCAAAATTCCTATCAAAATTCTCTCGCTATTATTAAAACGATGATAGAATATATAATCTGAGACGTCTTATGCGTCTCTTGAATACGCAGTATCGCTTTGGGTCTCTATTTGTCCCGCGGCAAACAATTTATTTCTCTCACGATTTTGTAAATCTTATCGTAGGACCGAGCCGTCCATCTTCGGTCTTTTCCGCGCTGCTTTGCCACGCTTTTCTTGCTCTTTATTTTACCTTTACCCATTTGTCTTGACATTTTTTTTCTCACGGTTCTCTCTCGGCTAAGAAATCCGCCTTGCAGCGAGATTTATTGCTCCCGATCAATCATCCGTACCGAGGTTGTCTTAGACGCGAAACACACACCAGAGCCATGTCCAATTATAGGGAAGTTAATTTTTCACGTAGACGGTAATCTCGGTCGTTATAGCCGACGCTGATTTTCAGAAATATAATAGGAGATGCTTTTTCCTTTGTCGCGACAGTGGGAAAGACAAATAATACATTATTTTTTATATTTTATCACGTAAAACTGTTAAATTTTATATAAAGACATTATATATTTTTTTTATTTCTATATTTATATCATATAAAAGTAATATATTTTATTATATAAATATATATAAATTTATTATATATGAATAATACTATTTAAAAAAAAAAGAAAAATCTTTTCTTTTGTAACTATGTGTGATAGATACATGCATTTAATAATTCTATTGGTAGCATTATTTCGCCACAGTTGCTGTACTTAGAGTTATCACAAAAAAAGAAAATATTTGTGCACCACATGTTCAAGATCGGGTCGAATGTCGGTCAGAAAAATAAAGAAGTATCGAGAAGTTCCGTTGCTTTTTCGTGATTTACAAGAGCCATATGGACATAATAGACTACAGCTTAATAGAACGCAAAATTCAAGCCGTATATAGAAACGACCTAGATTCATTCCAGTAGTATGAACTATGCTATGTCGATATTAATATTTTTTTCAATTCAGGCTGATGGTAGTTGCGCGCAATTTACTTCGGTCTGGCGGCTAATATTCGAAATTGCTAGGAAATTTCGAACGTTTGCGAAACTTAGAAGACTCCCCCGCACGTGCAAGCGCGCGGAAATTCCGTTAAACCCGATACGAAATTCTATCAATACACTTATTTCTGACATTTATTGTTCTATGCGATCTAAATTTGGAACCACGTAAAATTTTATTATTTGCGCAAATTAAATTTAGCGAAGCAAAATTTGTGCGAATGTTACCTACCTGTTAATTTATTTCTTATTGTCAATCGTTGAAACGCGAAATACCATCATCGCGTAAAGAAAGATATGTGACTTTTTAAGAAATCCTTAAGATTCGAGACAATCCGTTTTTCTTATTAAGTCCAATAATGACGTGGAGACATGAGTATGAGGTACGTGGAGAATCGTAATTTACGATTAAGCAATGATTTGTTTTGATTGAACGGTACTTTTTTTTTGCATCCATAAATCAAAGTCAGTAAACTATCAACTCTCAATATTACCGAGCAAAGCGAGAATTCTCCGTCAGCTATCGCTCCTTATCATCATCCGCTTCTAAATGACCTATCTTCAAACACCGGAATTCTTCAATAAAGGATCAAAGACGATTGCTCACCATGGAGACAAAATTATCGAGGAATTTCGAATATAGCCAAACGTTCGAATGAAAAGAAGATAAATACATATAAGGCGAGAGAGAGACCCTTGAAATTTTTGTGAGAAAAATTCACGATTTACTTCATCTTGATACGTTATCGCTTTAATGACCATTGCTATTATTTGGGCGGATTAAATTGAGAACGCAAAAGACTCTTTTCTGCACAACCATCTCATTGAAAAAACATGAAACTTATTTGGACTATGGAAACGAAAGATTGGTAACAAAAATGACGCTATTTAAATTCAATATTAGTATAATTGTCGTAAATATAATATATTTTCGATGCGCGCGTAAAGAGAAATGTAGCTTATTTTAATTTGTAAGCTCTGTTGCAACATATAGATATTATAATTGCTTTACTTCTTATTACAGAGCATTTTCTATCTTGTAATTTCACACCTATTATTGTTTCCTTATATATTAGCTAGATTTAATTCAAGTTTATATCATAGCGAGTTCCTTTACTTAAGTATTTTCAATTGTATACTTGTGATTCCAAGTTATTCTTTCTGGAAATATTGTCCGAGGATTGAGGGTGACTCATTACGACGATTGAAAAGCAGGAAAATCTCTTTGTTTTTATCTGAGAGAAACGTAACAGCAGAATGATAGAAACAATGTGACTGCTGATGAAAGCGAAATAATCTTGGTATTATCCTCAGAGAAAAGATTCAGAAAAGAATGCAAAGGTTTTACTTTTCAAATATCTTTTTGATACGACGACGTTGCAACATAATAATCGTTTATTTCTTGTTAGAAATATTGCGATCGAACAATAGGGAATCGAACGCAAATACTTGAACCACTTATGCATAAAAAAGAAATCCGATATGATATGCTAATACCAATCGTTCTTTCTCGTAAGCACCAAAAAGATTTTAAAAGAAATCTCATATTTAATATATTTCGCATTTTGGTCAATAAAAATATTCAAGTTTTTGTTTGTATATTTAGCGAAAACACGATATGCTTCAAAAGCAGAGAGAGAAGTTTTCATAGAAAATACACACCTTATGATTATTATATTTCTGTATATCTTTTAAAAAACATTTTCCAACTCTTTATTTAATAAAGATACGTTGAAAATTATTTATATTGCGTTGCATAATTTTTTTTTATATTAAACATGTAAAAGTGAAAATGCCTTATAATTTTATTAATTAATATTTTTGCCAATGTAAATATTTTATCATATAATAATTGTCGGTATGTTTTCTTAGAATAAATTAAAGTAGCGATAATATGATAGATAATAAATATGAGATTTCAGATATGCACTAATCATAATAGCTCGCATTGATTGTAAATAAATAAGATTTGCATCTTTTTCCATTTTGTTATTGAAATTCTGAAAATTTATCTCATTTTATATCTGAAATTTTATGTCTTTTCTTCAAGAAAAAAAAAAATTAATTATAAACCAACTTTATTCCCGCGTGAATGTTTTAATGATGGAAAAATATACGTGCAAATATCTTAAACCCTCTCTCTCTGCTCTTTTATGTTAACTGATATACTACTAATGCCTCATCTCGAAAACGTTCACATAAAATAATAGAGAAAGGGTCTTGGACACAGAGATATATATTAGACCTTTTCTATTATTATAAAATTGTGCGAAATAAAGTTGGTTTTTATTTTTTTTAATAAAAACGAGATGTTGTGGGTGCAATAACAGATAAAAAATGTAAACATTGTTTATTTACAATGATTAATACGAGATTATTATAATACAGTTTGGATCAGTTGGTTGTCTACCGTTGCCTGAAGAGGATCTGAGTAAGTAGAAACTAGTTCCATTACGGAGACGGAAGAACAGGAATGTACTGTGAGTATTGTCTGACATATATACCCGAAGACTCACGTATTTGCCCATCGTATTATCGTTACCTCGATCTATTGAATATTTTGATTTTATCTTTTTATATGAAAATTTAGTTCTCGGGAGGCTGTTTATTTTTAATCATTATGGAAGAATCGGTTTGAAATTTAAAATCGGCTTTTTAAAGGAATAATCAGAAAGCGAATAAGCGAGATAAATCTGAGATATCCTGTACGTGTCGAAGCATTACACTGGGGAATTTTGACATTTCACCTCTTTAAAAGAACAATCAAGTAAAATTGTCTGCGAGCGAGGTAAACTCGATGAGTATATCCCTGTCTTAAAAAGATATGTTATTGACATTGTTGCCTCTTTTTCGCGATGCTGATTGATTCTCTCGGTGTACTTACTTCATGAGCAGCTGTCATCGCGGAGATCGCATAGCTTGACAATTCAATATGTTATAATAATCAAGAAATAATTTATATAAATTAATTTGTTTATAATTGTACCTTCTTTTTGCTATGTTAACGGAGATTTTATGTTAAAAACGATGTTATAATTTTTAATATTTTAAAATTAATTATTAAATACTTTGCATTATATTCTATTTTTAATAATAGATCACTGACATAAAGAAAACATTCGGAAAAAATGAAAAACAAAAATCTTCGAGAGAGAGAAAAAGAGAGGGGGGAAGAAAGAGAAAGAAAGAGAGAGAGAGAGAGAGGAGATCGGAATGCTCGCGCGCGCGACGATCCTGGGTGGAAGAAGGGGCGGTAAAGAGGGTGGCTAGAGGGCCTGGAAGGGTGCCTAGGACGCGACGCGGTGGGGGTGAGTCGGGATTGGCTTTTCGCGAATGTGAAACTCAGTAGTACGCTACCACCCACGCACGTAGTACGCACGTTCGCTCCACGTGTGCTCCGTGTAAAAGTTATCCTCGTTTCTCTTGCATCCAGCGTGCGAACAGTAACAACGAGGGAGTTTTTCTTCGGAGACGAGGATTCAACGCGTTCTGCGATGTAACTCGGAACAAACCACCCCTGCCGCAAGTATATCCAGCTGAGATGATATTCAATCACGGAGAGAAAGAGAGAGAGAGAGATAAGAGAGATAATTGTCAGTTGTTGAGGAGATTTTGAAGATAAATAAGGAGGAAAGGTATTCAAGATTACATGTCACAATTGTCATATCGTAACAAAATATTACGTAAAGCGAAGACGGAGCGTGCGATTCGAGTTTGTACTTGCGGATGTCATCACCGTGATGTATAAAGTGTGAACGAGGGATCTCTCTTTTTCTCTTTCTCTTATCGAAGCAAACACATTCACGAGGATAAGCGAGAGCACAATTGGACGAATGTCACGAGATTTGATATGAAATAAAAATTTTTGGCATTGTTTATCATTGAGAAAGAAAAAAATGAAACAAATGCAATGCGATCTTCTATCTCACATGTTTGAAGCGTGATTTTCCGTTGAAAATTCGTTACGATTCGCTATCGGATAGTAAGGATGCGTTTAAAAATCGGGACATCATGTCCGTGACGGAAATATTCAAGATGATGATATTACATTACGCGAGACAGAGAACTTTTCAAATTTTTGACGATGGCAAAACTATAGATTTTCTAAGACACGACAGATCTGAATTTCCCTGAAGAAACCAAGAAGACCGAGGACCGTGATTGTTTTCAGCAAAAAGTAAGTTATAAAAGAAGTGAATTAAATAATTAGAATAGTTGAATTTCCAATTAAGATAGGATAGAGCTCATTTTAATAGAATAAAAAATAAATTTTTGTGTTTTACGACAAGATATATTGAGGCACAATATTTATTATTAATTAAATAAAAAAAGTAAATTAACAGAATTCTTTCTAATTTATAATAATTATCTATTGAAATCAATGCTTGTACGTAAAACTATATCCGATCGTAATTACACATAAGTTTTTTTACACTTTTTTATATATATTATAAAATTATATATAAAAAATAATATATATAAAGTTATTATTTTAATTAACTTTTAATCAATTTATTAATTTTATTTTTCTTGCAATAATCTCTCTAATTTATTTACATTGTTCGGCCATCATTTGTTTAGTCATTATTTCTACATTGATTGCAATATTACATTATTGTAATAAAAATTAATATGTAACAATAAGAGAACAGATATTAATAATAATGTAAGAATGATCACAGATAATGAGCAAAACGTTATGACAGTTATACTCATAATTATAAAGACTACAATGACATTACAATCTACGGGTTTATAGGATGAGTTATCTAACAGGGATGGCACCAATAGATATTTTAAATGCGATCAAAGATAAAGCTTTTCCTGTTTTATCTGCATAAAATATAAAGTTATTCCATTTGAATTTCTGCTCATTTTTCCTATATATTTCACGAAAAACTTGTCAAAATTCGATAGAAATGGAATCGATATAGTGATGTCGTGATAAAAAAAACTTTTCGTGTAAAAATTTTATATATAGTTTTCGATATAATTTCGTACATTTTCTTTTTTAAAGAGATAAATATTGGAAGTTTTAAGCAGAGAAGAAGAGAGAGAGAAAGAGAAAAAGAGAATGTGTGGGATTCTATTAATATGTAGCTGTTATGATTCTTATCGCATGAGATTTTACATATTTCACATTCGCTAATTAAAAAATTGCATTATATATTATTCAGCCATTATCGATATCGAATATTGCATCATTACGTTTGAGTTCTTCTCTTATTGCGTTACTTCCTCATTAAGCAAAAATAATCGGCTTAATATTATGGCTCTCGAACGGAAATTCAATTTACCACACTTTCGTGGTGTATATTGCACGAAATGAAAATGTAAGGAGCACGAAGTGGATATTACTTGCGCCAGTCCTTCATCTTTTTCGCTTCTCTGACAAGAATTCATTTTCAATTACGAGCTCAATGTCAAAGCATAGAAAATTACAATTCAGAGAGCAATACGTGTCTTTTTATAATTCGAGAGAAAATGAATAAATAAAATAATTTATAATAAACCCGCATAAATTACCATTAAATTTCATATTGTTGACGGTTTAGGCGTGATTCCAATTATAAATATCTTTAAACGAAAGGAGATTTCTCCACCGTGCGTATTGGTTGCAGGTGTGGATTCGGTTTTGCAAGTAACTAAATAACGTTCGCGGCTACCCTGATGCGCCGATGAAGCGCATGTTCGTCTTCATTAAATGCAAAGACGTTAATTGAATATTCCATGAAACCGTTAATTGAATATTCCAGGAATATTGCTATCTCAGAGAGGAAAATAAATGAGAATAGACCAGGCATTTTTTTTATTAATGATTACAATCAAAGAGTTACAGCAATGATCGATTTTAATATCAAATTAATGATCACAGATATCACGATATAATCTATACGGATGCTTCATACATACACATACGAGCGACTATATTTAATTTATTAGAAAACATTACATATTTCTGAGTATCATTAATTATTTATAGTCTTAGAATATATATGAGATAGAATTATGATAGAATAAGAAATAATAATATTTGTGGTACACACAACAACATTCCATTTATAAATACGAAACATATTTTTAGTTATTTCTTTAATACCGTAACATAAAAGTATTTTACAAGAGAAATATTTTATAGCCTTCAACGGTTGCGATTACACATTCACATTTTTTTCAAATCAATAATTCAATGTATACGTTTGTTACATAACGGCATTATAATGTAATTTTGTAGGGTGACACGACAGATTTTTCTTATCTTTCTTACACGTACTTTTCTTGTGACAGGTTAAAAAAAAGTGTCGATCGCATGGGATAAAGATAGACGAGATTCGGGTGGAAGATTGAAGATCGAACGTCCGCGCGACAAAAACCGTCGTTATAAAACTTTGTTTACAAATCATTGACGCCGTGATATTATATACACATTTCGATTTATATTACATTTTTGCTTTTTGCTATTTTTGATTTTTTTTCTTTTATTACAAAATCACAGCGGAATATCTGGAGTGTATTGTCATTTTTCGAATTATAGATGTTAATATGTAAATATTTTCTTTTTTTATTTTATACAATTAAAACTTAATAATTCTATGAGATTAATATTATTAGATGAAATTATATTCTGTTGTTGTGTGTTTATAGAAACAAAATAATTCACGAGACAATAATCGTGCACGTCAATTTTAAAATTAAGATACAATCAAAGTTTGTGCGATATTAAAGTTTCGTTACTTGAGATGAACAACATATATTGGCTATATATAATCTCTGTTCCTCTTTTAACGGAATAAGTTATATTCACAGTTTCATCCAATATGGCGGCCACTTTTGTACGAACATTGTGTATCTCCTACGAAGGAAACGCAATTACGCTTGCAACGTATCGAAGTTTCCATCGAAAGGATGATACATTAGAATTCATTGACTTTTTTCTCACGCCGTAAAGAAAATATCGATTGCAATGATAAAAGATTACCTACGTCAGAAATATGAAATAATGACGCATATAATATACGAAGCGATTGATATTATAGTTTGTTTAAAAAAAATTGCTTTTCTCGGCAATCAATATTGTACGACTTTTTTCTTTTCCTTTTTACAACTGAAATTATCGTAAAAATAATTTTTTTGCTAAGAAATAGCTTCGTGCAATGCCTTCCCCTAAATTTATTTTCTGACAGTCCGAATTGCAATCGTCTCTCAATTTAGATTGTATAATTAACAATAAGATACTTTTTTTGAGAAACCATTCTCATCCGACTCACAGAATACTTCTCGAATTTAATTTATTTTTCTATAAAATATTTCCGTCATATTTTTGAAGATTTTCAGAATATTTTAAGTAAAAACTCTACAACAAATAATTTTTTACGCGTAATAATGAAAGCAGGAAGCAGTAAGCAACTAATGTTACTGGCCAATTTGATAAATCATTTTTAAAATATATAAAAAATTAATAAAGTAATTTTATCGCGCGCAGTAATAATGTGCCTATATTCTGCAAATATGTCTATAACAACGTGTTGTGCAAATGGAACCGCGGTTACTTTAAAGACACGAAAGAGCTACTTGAAAGAGCTACTTCAACGAGTCGCTAGCACGAGTCGCTCTGTTTCAAGATTCTTTGTCGTTTAGAGGAGATGAAAACGTAGAGTTTCTCGGCGATGGGCATCTCTTTTGCGGCCAGGAACACGTAATCGAAGAACGTGGCTCTCCGCTGCCGGAAAATCAATGTTATCTAGAGAGTATCCGGCCAAGAAAGAGAGAGAGAGACAATAGAAACTAAGTGTCGAGTGCTCGATGCGATGATGTTACTCGAGAGCAATTTAATAAAGAGACTAAATTAATTCACAGTCGCAGTGATTTCCATACGATTGTTTTCTTTATCTATTTATTCATTTTTATCGGACGAATGGCCAACGTCAAAAGCTTCCCGCGGTGTATGATTTAAGCGAAATAGGTTGTCACGCGGACATGTCCGATCTACCTACATGTCATCTCGCGCATGACCGATGGTCATGTATTGTATAAACCCACGCTATAAATACCAAAATAACAGATTGATTTATGATCGCGCGTATCTCTCTTTTTTTCGTGATTTACGGTGTCTCGAAGCGCCGTCGAAGCTGCTCCCAGAGAGTGCGCAGGGAGAGTTTATTTTCTACCTCTAAAATATACATTTTTTTCTCTTTACTGATCGGAGGGGGAGGGCTGTGACAGATAAATTAAAATTTCCAGTCGATGGAATATCGCGCAAACTAAATATTTCATGTCTACATGTCAAAACTGAATATATTTATATGCTGTCAATATATTTTCGATTTAGTATAATTCTCTCTTATTTTTCTCCGTCGTTTACGACGATTATCGGATTTATCATTGGGAAATGTGTCATATTTATCGCGATTATCTAGAGCCTACGTATTAATATGACGGAGATAAAACAGTCGATACTCTTCCGTATTTTTCGTCCTCATTCTTCTTAAATGATCGATCCGCTCTCTTCCAAATTCTTTTTCGATGTACAATCGCTATTATCTCGCAAACGTATATATCGTAAGACATTTAATTTTATCTCCAGTCACTCAATAACTCGATCGTTCCGAAGTTATTCTACGCGATGTGCCATTATGCCATTTTATCCTCGAATATAGGCCGAAGGATTCGAGGAAGAGTATCCGGCTAAGAAAGAGAGAGAGAGAGACAATAGAAACTAAGTGTCGAGTGCTCGATGCGATGATGTTACTCGAGAGCAATTTAATAAAGAGACTAAATTAATTCACAGTCGCAGTGATTTCCATACGATTGTTTTCTTTATCTATTTATTCATTTTTATCGGACGAATGGCCAACGTCAAAAGCTTCCCGCGGTGTATGATTTAAGCGAAATAGGTTGTCACGCGGACATGTCCGATCTACCTACATGTCATCTCGCGCATGACCGATGGTCATGTATTGTATAAACCCACGCTATAAATACCAAAATAACAGATTGATTTATGATCGCGCGTATCTCTCTTTTTTTCGTGATTTACGGTGTCTCGAAGCGCCGTCGAAGCTGCTCCCAGAGAGTGCGCAGGGAGAGTTTATTTTCTACCTCTAAAATATACATTTTTTTCTCTTTACTGATCGGAGGGGGAGGGCTGTGACAGATAAATTAAAATTTCCAGTCGAT